GAGAGAGAGAGAGAGAGAGAGAGAGGTTCTGGTCCCTCTTGATTTTCCCTCTTGTGGGTTCCCTTTTGATTTTCCCTATTGTGGCATTCTATGATTCCATGCTTAGAAAAAATGTATATGTTTTCGATTTGCTATGTATGTGTATCTTATATCGTTCGAGGGCCATGCCTTCATTTTCATTTTGGGTTGTGAATTGGTTTTTGTTGGTGAATTTGTTATAGCTATGAGAAGGAAGCAATGAAACGGTTTGTCCTGCACTTGCTGGTCCTATCGCACACATTCTCGGTTCCATCCCTTAAAAGAGTGTGTAGTGAACACTTGGAACATGGGCTTTTGACGATGGAGAATGTGATTGATGCTTTGCAATTGGCTCGCATGTGTGATGCTTCACGACTTGAACTCTTGTGTATCCGCTTTATTGTGAACAATTTCAAAAGCATTTCAACTTCAGAAGGGTGGAAGGTGATGAGGAAAACCGATCCTCAGCTTGAACAGGAGCTTCTTGAATACGTTGTGGAGGCTGATTCGGTATGAAGTTTTTAAGTTTATGTCATGTTTTCAAATTTTTCTTTAGTTGTAATTCAAAAAAGACTCTGTACTAGAAATTTTTTTTTTTTTCCTCTCTCTATCACTTCTTTCTTGTTATTGTTTATGGAAATGATGAAAATATGTAATTTTTGTTTGTAAAAATCAAAATCTGAACCTTATTGTAAAAATAAAATCTACTAAGAAAGGCAGGTCCCTTATTTTCACTTGGGGTTCCTAAACTAGCCCACCTGCGAAAGATTTTTGAAAAGGCAGTGCTGTTTTGGCTATTTGTGAACAACGAAAGCAAATCAACAGATATTTCTTAGTATTTGTATGCATGTTTAGCCCTCTGATCATGACAAATGAAGATTATCTTTTTTATTGAAACTTTGTAGGTGTTTTTCCTCCCGATTCCTGATAATTATTTTTTACAAAAAATGAAATGAAGTTATTCTAATCTCTTGAATTTGAAAGACAAATGGGATGTGTATTAATATGTAACAATAGTTATTAATATATATTTCTTGCAATTTTCATTTTATTGAGTAGGAGAGAACATGCTATACAATTTCTTCTGTGGAAGGATTTGGCGGAAAATGATATTATATGCCTAAGAAAGAAAAAAACCACCAAATTCAAATTCATAGGAGCTCTCATGTTGACTGTTACAAACTGAGAAACTATCTTGTTGACACCATACTTTCTCCAAAGTTCAGTTCTCTTGGGTAGTCGGGTCGTCTTCTAAGATTTCAACTTGCTACCAAATATTTCTAATTTCCTGATGGATATCATCTCGTGAATGTTTCCACATGGAAGTGCTTATAGGGTCGACTTTTAATATTTGAACTTGCATACCAAATGTTTCTTTAATTTCCTAACTAATATTGTATAGTGAATGTTTCTATCAGATAATGCTAATTATTGTTATTGCATGAGCAGAGAAAGCAAGAGAAGACGAAGAGAATCGAGGAGAGGAAGATATACTTGCAACTGTATGATGCCATGGAGGCCCTGATGCACATATGCAAAGATGGGTGCAGGAACATTGGACCTCACGACAAAGTACTGAAAGGCGGTGAGGGAGCCTGCAATTTTCCAGCTTGTAAGGGGCTCGAATTGCTTGTTCGCCATTTCTCAAGCTGCAAGGTTCGGGTACCTGGTGGGTGCACCCATTGCAAGAGAATGTGGCAGCTGCTTGAGCTCCATTCTCGCATGTGTGGGGAACCTGACGTATGCAAGGTCCCACTATGCAAGTAAGCTTTTCTCAGGCCAACTTCTGCCTTTATTTATCGATAACTCTCTCTCTCTCTCTCTCTCTCTCTATCTCTCTCACAAAAGGATATGATTGATGATGGTTGTGTGCAGGCATTTTAAGGAGAAGATGAAGCAGCAGAGCAAGAAGGATGAGGTGAAATGGAATCTGCTGGTGAGCAAAGTTATGGCTGCTAAAGCCACTGTCAATTCTTTGTCAAAGTTTAAGGCTTCTGGCCCTTATGGGATAAATATAAATACCTGGTAATGTTAATTTTGTGTCATAGTAAGCACCCCCTGCACATGGAGTGTCAAACGTACTGCATGTTCAAGAATAAAGATTGTGACAAATTTGTGAATTACTCAAAAAGAAAACCACAATGTGACACATTTGTTTGTGTTTTCATAAATGTGAAGCTGTGGGCCTTCTGTGATTCTCTTGAAAGAGAGGCTGCGAATTTACTTGATGGAATGAAATTGATTCTCGACCAAACCGTGGCCCCATTGCATAAAACTTTGGGAACAATGTTGTTTCTTTATCCACACCCATTTAAGAGTGTGGTCCAAGAAGACCCAAGATTTGTGGGGGAATCAGCAGCACTACAACTGCTAATTCAACAAATCCTAGGTGGGGATTCAAAGAAAAATTTAAAGGGGAAAAATTTAAACGATTCCTAGTGGTATGGGTCGTGGTACGGTTCCCTTTTAAAATCACGTTACATATTTTTTTTCTCTTTTTGTTTTAAGCTTATCTACTTTTTCTTGGGTGGGGATTTAAAGGAGACCCAAGAAAAAATAGATAATTTAAAACAAAAGAGAAAAAAAATATGTAACGTGGTTTTAAAGGGGAACCGTGCCACGACCCATACCACTAGGAATCGTTTTGTTCCCGGCCTATTTCGGTCCGAATCAACGAACTGGATAAAAAATCAGTGGGTTTTAAAGTACTACTAGAGACCATGAGAGGAAAGTAAGGAAAGTGGTCACCTAGGATTTGTTGAATTAGCAGTTGTAGTGCTGCTGTTGTTGAGAGGGAGTTTTAAAGCAATTATTTCTTGGAAACGGTTTTTCTCATGTTTCCTCATGGTGTAAAACTTTTTCATGTGTGTAAGATAGAGAGAGAGATTCTCCAACTGATTCTTGTCATAAAGCAAAACCATAATACTCTCCTACTTGGAACCCTTGTTTGCATGATGCATGTAACTACACTCTACATGGTCCTAAAACTTTTTCAACTTCTCTGATTGATTTCAAATTTAGTGAAATAGTGTTTTCTTTTTCTCTTTCTTTTTCTCTCTGTTCTCAAATTGTAATTGACCACATGGTATTATAATTTTTAATTGATAATCACTAGTTGTCTATGGGTGCTTGAATGTTTCAATTTGAGTTTCAAATTGTTATTTCATGACGTGATGGTGGCAGTCTCGATGGTATAATGAGGGCAGTGTGGTGGTGACAGTGACGCCATCATAGTGGTGGTGGAGCGCATGGCGTGGTGCCATTGTTACCGATGTTCCGATAGTGGTCGTGGTGGTGGTGGTTGTTGTGCATGGGGTTGGTGGTCATGGCAGTAAAGTGGCAATGGTGGTGGTGGTTGTGTGAGGGTTTGGTGGTGGTGAAGTAGTTGTGGTGGTGGTAACTTAGAGGGTGGAGGAGTTGTCGTGGTCGTGGAGCAGGTTTTGGATACATGGTGGTAGCGGCAGGAGTCGTGATAAAAGAGTGGAAATGGTGGTAGAGCGAGGTGATGGTGATAATGGAGCAGTGGAGGTGGTGGCTGCTGGGCGGCGGCAGCGGCGGCAGCAGTGGTGGAGCAGGTGCTGGAGTATTGGTGGTTGGGTAGTGATGATGGTGGAGCAGGGGGTGGTAGTGGCGTTCGTAGTGATGGTGGCAGTGGTGGTGTTACAAAGAGAATTCGAACCAGTGGTGGTGTTACAAAGAGAATTCGAAGCTTTTGCAAAACAACTTGGAATTATATTGCAAGCATCAAATTTAAGAGTCCAATTGCAATTTGAGAATCAGATCGAATTTGATAATCAAAACCCGTTAAGCACGCAAATTTCAATTTTGCCCAACATGGAACTTAGACCAGAGATCAACTCGTGCATTTCTTTTCTAATTCTCCACTATTGTGAGAATTGAACCAAGCAACAAACCATTAAGGGTTTTGGATAAATCAAAATCAATCCGATTGTTGGTCAAACCGAAAAATTAATATTTTAAAATATAAAACATATTAAAAGGGATGTCGTTTTTATGGGGCTTAGGCTTTATGAAAACAAAGCAAAGTCTTACTAAAAATCCTCATCTAGAAAGCGCCCTTGGGCATTAAAAATCGCCATGATATCTCTAAAATTAATTTCCAATATTGACTATGAAATTTGATGCTTAAAAAACGCTACAAATCTTGCAGACATATGACAGCTTAATTCCGAGGGCTAAATGGATGATGTGAATAATGTGCAACAATATATACTATTTTTAAGGCTTGAAAGCCTAAACTTTTTTTACAACCATAATGGTCAAGACCGAGATGATCGATTTGAGAGTTTTCCAACACCAAAACTACATTTTTCAAAGAGTATTGAGGTGAGGCTTTTACTTTGATAGGATTGCAGCGCTAACAAAACATATACCTATTGAAAATTGTCCATCTTTGTTTAGTTGGTCAAAGCCAATTGGTCCTACAAGATAAAATTGGTCAAAAAATAATTTTGACTAGTTTTCAATTAAACTTAGTACTTGCTTTGAATTGGACCAGCCGATTAGCAATCTGACTATTCGGACCACCTGCTCCAATCTGGTGCTAACTTGAGAAGTGACCGACTCCATCTAGGCAACTTCATCTCTTCTGTGCAATATATATGGAAATGAACTATCAAATGGTGATTAACGAACTAGCATAACTACCCTTTATGTCCTCTTCATGTGGGCCAGTATGCTATGATCTATACGACAATGAAGTGTATAGGGCCATACAAGTGTCTATCACCATCCAATCAATAGATAGGCGGTATAGTGAGTAGAAGCTACCAATTGGGCTATTCGTGCTTGGATGAGTCCGAACCACATCAATGACCCCCATCTGTTGGCGGGCGATGATAAGGATCAAAGATTTTTAACATCATTGGAATATATTCATGGTTGGAAGTAGTGAAAAAAGATATGGAGACTTGTGGCCTTATTAAGGGTACGACACTTGATAGAGCAGAATGGCATACCTGGATACATATAGCCGATCCAAATAATTGAAAAAAAGCTCCGATGATGACTGAGCTCCAATTTCTTCCAAAAAAGATGATGATCCTCGAGAGTGATGCTCAATGATCTTCCTGCGCCTTGGTTCAATTATTTCACTACTTCGAGAATGGGGTATTATCTGAGCCATGGTCATATTAGGCACTCTGGCAAGCCAATCACCCACTGAAACATAGATAACTGGAGCTACGCTGGGGACTTCTCTTTGCATAATCAACAAGCAACACCTTTGGTGTCCTAGGTTTTTGAAATATCATTTTATTTATATTTTTATTTTCTTTTTTTTATTGGGTTCATTCGGTAGTAGAAATCAAACTTGAAATATAGCGTCGTTAAATGTTAGATGCTAACCACTTCAACCCAAGCTTGAGTCCTTTTTTTTCTTTGTTCTTTTTTCTTTTTTCTTTTTTTCAAATTTTCAATTGGACAAAAAGACACATATGCCCTTGCTTTCTTCAAAATAAGAGATGCATTCAACCTAGAGTTTAGATGATGTAATCAAGCATGGATGGATATTGAAACAAGGAAAAAGTTTATATAAAGACGCAACCTTATAATGTAGAACTACAGATGCACCTCAAAAATCCATTGGACAAGGTAATTTTAATGTTGAAAAACCCTTTGATTGATCATCTCAACATTGAGATGTATGACAATGAAAAATAAAAAGATTTTAAGTTTCAGCAATAATGCATTTTACAACATATTATCTACACCGTTCATTTTTAAGATTTTCATATGTTTATAGATCTACTTGATTTTTACCATTTTTGAAATTTAAAATTTTATAATTAGATATAAAAATAGATTTTAAGATAATCCTAAAAACATTTTACATCAAAATTATATACCATGATAAAATTTGAAAAATGCACCGTACCTCTATAGCTACATATGCATCCGTATGCCAACTGCACCCTTGAAACAATCGTTTTTTGAGAATTGCACATTCTTGATGATATTACCTTATTAGGGGGAATCATGAGACCAAAAGGTTACATGCCTTTTGGTTGAAACTTCGAAAGTGATAGGGACTTGGTTGCGAATCATAGAGAAACTAGTCTCGTTAAAATTAGTTCAAACATGACTACGAAACTACGATTTTTTAGGTAGCCATGGTCAACACTGGTCGGAGCAAAGTTTTAAGCCATCTACTCAAAATTTGGATTTTATAGTAAAGAAAAATGAGATTTTTATAGGCTTGAACATCATAATTCATCTACTATGGTAACAATGAAGTAGGTGAGAGTGGTAGAAAGACACATCGAAAAATCCTGCCGAATCAACAGTACGCAGTACATGGGAGGATTCGAGATAACCTCGGCAAAAAATTGAACTGCCCTATCACGACCAAGGGAAAAATTGATTGGTCGCATTATGAGTTTGTGTGGGGGAAACTTTGCGTTTAAGTGGTTCGAAAACTGCCCTAATCACTTATCAACATGTAAGTAAATTTGGTCAATCTTTTGTATTGATCAAACAAAAAATATTGTAGAGATTATCTATAAAGAAATTATTTATCTTTTTTACATGAAGGTCACAATCACTGTTGTCCCTTAAATTTCAAAATATGTAATAGACAGTTTTTTTTTTTAAAAAAAACAATCATTAGACAGTGTGACTCGTTCTAAGCCATCCAATTTGACATCTAATGAACGTAAATGATTGTGACCTCCATATACAAAAGATAAATAATCTCTTTGCAGTCAATCCCAATATTTGAACATAAATAAATCTGTTCAAAATCAAACACAAAATATTTTAAAATTTTCACAATACAAACCTGCAGAGTCTAAACCTAGAGTCTTTAAACCATGTATGACTTGGTCTAAAACCCAATTTACAATGTATAAGAACTAGAGCACCAAGGCTTAGAATCCCTCGCTTTTCTTTGCCATCCTCTCCAAGTCCAAGATATTGGATCACGGTTGATGTGAAATGGAACTTTTCGACTAGCTTGTCTTAGATTTGCTATTTTTTTTATGAGAGAGACAGCAGCCAGACACTATAGAAAACCTTAGAGAGAGAGAGGAGCTCTTTGAAAAAGTAATTCTGGCCCACACAATTTTTTGTTTCATTATATATAAAGGTGCTGTTTGTACATAGCCTAGGCTCTAAATGATCAAATTAAAGCCTACTTTCAAATATTGTCGAGAAATGGGGTTTCACTTTTGAAAAT